TCCATTGGTACCAAAAAAAAAAAAAAGCGTGATCCATCCTAGAAATAGAAAGCAAGTTTTGCCTAAAAGATGGTACATAGACAACATCATTCAAAACAAGAACATAACCAGTCTTTAATTTAAACTCCACTACTCATATAAATTCAACTTGAACTCGAATATCATTTCCAACCACCATCATTCTCTCATGGTCAATTGGCTTTCGTTTGCTCTTGAATCACTGTAAGACATTGGCAACATGAACAGTAGCCCCAGAGTCAAACCTCTAAGAATGTTAAGGAGCATCTATCAAATTGGATTCAAAACAAACAAAAATAAATGGATTACCTCAATTTTTCTTCTTTTCTAACCAAGCCTTAATACTTATGGCAATCAGCTTTCTTATGACCATTTTTCTTACGAAACCAACAACTAACCTCATTCTTTATAGTAGGTATGGTGGTGAGGAAGAGGTGATAATACTATTTGATTTGTATCTAATGACATACATTTCTATTGTGTTGCTTACATTAACTTTGTCCAACAGTTGCCGCAGACAAACCCCGGTTACAACAATACATTATTTAAATTTACAAAATACTCAAAATAATAAATTTACAAAATACTCTAATGCATAAATTTACAATATACTCAAATTCATATATGCTTGTGTATAAATTATTCACTGTCAAATGCATATATGCTTGTGTATAAATTATTCACTGGTAATCAATTCATTGTCCTTTTCTTCCTCTGTCGAACAAAATTTATCCAATCAGATTTGCACATATAAACTCTCAGCTGTGGTGTGAATGAAAACACAAATAAAACATTCACATTGATGTAAATCAAAAGCCACTGTAAAAGCCAAATCCAATAGAAACAAATTTTACATTAACACAAACTGTGAAACATGCCTTCAGCCACTGATCTCGTTTTGGCCACACAGTCACAACAGAAGCTTGGCACATTCAGTTGCAATCAAAAGCCAAAGCCAACAGAAACAAATAAACCAGTGACATTGATGTAAAGCATGCCTCTGTTCTCTTCAAGATTCAGTGCTAATTCAATCAGTGAGGCCAAACTAATAAAGAATCAGTGTACTCTTCAAGATTCAGTTGCTAATTCAATACCTAATACACAATGACAACAATTTGCTGAACTTAATCGAGCCTCGCCAAAGATAACCTAAACTTGACAGTTTCTACTGCGATTTCAGGCACCAAACAAAATTAAACCATTACACATACACAGACCATCCAAGATTATCAAAATCACCCATACCCACCAACCAAAACAACTAGAATTTTTATTATAAAAAATTTCCTCTAAAAATAATTAAAATTTAAAAAATTTGTATTACGTATTAAAATTTAGCCAGACGAAAAAAAAACACTTGTTATGTGACTAAAAGTTTAATCGTCTAACGGAAGAGGTACGTTGTACAACAACGTACGTTTGAGGGCTTTTGCAACTCGTATTGCACGTTGCCGTATCCTTCTAATCTACGATAATATTAGATCTTACATTATACGGGTGAACATTGTAAAAAACCTATTGCAACATTTTTTGTCTGTTGCAAAAAATTGTTTTTCTTGTAGCTATTTTTTCCTCTATAGAATTTTTAGCAACAAATATTTTTTATCGCAAAAAATAGACCATTTTGCATCACGAGCAATTTTTTGCAATAAATAAAAGTTTGTCACCATAAGTTTCCCACCAAAAATGTTTTGGCATCTTACTTGCCTCATATTTTCGGCAACATTCTTTATTATTTGTTGCAACTTAACCTATTGCAACATTTTTTGTCTGTTGCAAAAAATTGTTTTTCTTGTAGCTATTTTTTCCTCTATAGAATTTTCAGCAACAAATATTTTTTATCGCAAAAAGTAGACCATATTGCGTCACGAGCAATTTTTTGCAATAAATAAAAGTTTGTCACCATAAGTTTCCCACCAAAAATATTTTGACGTCTTACTTGCCCCATATTTTCGGCGACATTCTTTATTATTTGTCGCAACTTCTCACATTTCACGACAAATTTTTACGTTGCCTTATACTATTTGGTACTTATTTTTTTCATCACAATCTTTGCGACAAACTTTAAAAATATGCCGCGTTAAGTCACTTATTGTGACAACTTTTTGTATGTTGTAAAAAATCTTGTCGCGAATCACAATTTTGTTGTAGTGCTCATTAGTTTTACTGGTTTATATAGCAGCCAACATTTGTTTTCAAGACGAACATATTTACTTTGAGAATAGCCATAGTGTGTATTATGTTACCGTGAACAAAATTTGAGTTTGATCTGCTATGGAAATATGACACGTATTGATTGAAAAATTAGGTTTTAGTAGTTTCTCTTGTAAAGCTTAATTTGTTTCGTGTGATGTGACATGATTCTGTTGTTCCTGCAATTTGCTCATCTCTATAGCACAAAACAGCCTTTTTAGACCACCAGCATTTGATCGACCTTTTTCTGTATAATTCTTTAGCAGAATTCATTGGGGATTTCTTCTGCTCCCCAGTTTCTAAAATCTTAAATTCTCCACCAAGATTGATCTTCCAATTACATGAATCGTGAGCATCAAATCTTAGGCATTGACTTGACTAGACTAGACAATGAAATTGTTGAAAAAAAAAAAAAAAAAAATTCATCCTCGGTTTCGGTCATGTAAATATGCCCTAAAATAGTGGGCTTGGAATTGCCTCAGGTTGAAAACGAGAACCCTTTCTTAGTGGCGATGAAATTCCCTCGTCTGAATATATTTTGGGTTTTGCTACTTGTACATTAGGGTTTACACCTTGGTGAGTGTAAATCCTGATGCACACATAGAATAATTCATATATTTTACCCCATAGAAAAATAAATCTATATCAATCATCAAGTCAAAAAACGTGGCAGGTTCAAAGAGAAACTGTATATATCAGCAGTTGCATGTAAAAATTTTGCCCGGATGATTCTCCTTTTCTTGACGTAGAATTATGACTTCAAGAAAAGAACTTAACAATTTAATATAGATTACAGCCATATAAAAGATCACCGTCATCCATTTATAAAAAATTATAAACTTTTTTTTAATTATTATTATTATTTTTTAATCTTTGATCAAAAACTAAATTCGGTTTGCAAAAAAGGGCATATTAAAGACAAAATCGAAATGAAGACATGTAGTCCTTCTACTTTCTCTACGCCTTAACCTTTTAGACACTTGATTAACAAAATTAACTTCCCTTTCCAGTATGATAAACTGAAAGCTATGTAGATGAAGGTAGCACTGAGGTGAAGAGAAGAGGATTTACTTTTAAGAGTTATTTTCCTTATTCCAATGAACATTGGTTACATTTATTTTTACCAGTAACTGATTTATGGATGTGTGCTCTTTTTTTAACAGTTTGGGAAATGAAAACCAAACTTCCTCTCGCCAAAACGATTGTAGTGAAAAGCTAAGAGCCTGTTCTCTTTGTTGTTTTCATACCATTTTCAGTTTTCAGTTTTCGAAAACACTGAAAACACGTTTACTTACCTATTTTCAGAAGCGAATTTCCAATAACGAGTTTAAAATTTACAAAGAAAACAGAAAATGCCAAAAAAATCGTTTTGACTGTTTTCAGTTAAAACCAAGCCAAAATTTCGAAATGCGGAAAACGTCAAGATTTTGCCAATAGCAGGATAACTTAGTTGGGAGAGTCACAGATTTTCTGAAAGTTACGAGTTTGATTCCGTTTCACCGCCATTCACTATAAAGAAATTTTCTTTTTTATATGCACAGTTCAAAAGAACTATATATATATATATATTGAATAATCAGTTTTTCAAAATTAGAAAATAAACGCGTTTTTTATTTTTTTATTTTTGAAAATAATTTTTCAAAATGACAAAAAGAACGAGTTTTCAGTAATTTAAAAATGGACACTCAAAACTAAAAACTGAAATATGAAGAGAACAACCCCTAACTTTCTTTTAGGAATGGTAGATTAAAGATGCAGGTTAGGTAGGTAAAATCAAAATAAAGAAAAACGTCTACACTCTTGACTTAAATTGACAAAGAATTACTTGTCAAAGTTAAGAGCACTTTTTAACATGTTAATATGCCTGTTATTAGTGCGTGTATGGTAAACTGAATTTAGGCAATATTCTTTCCCCATGTTGTGTTCCAAAATACAGACGCTGATCACCATCTTTTATCTTTCGGGCATCTTGTTCCCTCTACTACCGAATTGTCTCGTCAATGTTATTTGATGGTATTGAATCTTTGCTTAAAGAACATCATCAAATTGTGTGTCAACTCAAATGTACTAATTGTACTAAAGGAAAGGTAAAAGAAAAGGAAAAGAAATCTATAACTTTAATCCGTCTTGATTTATTCCACCTAATTCAAACTCCCATTTTGCAGTTCCAAGAAAAAAATTAAAAATGAAAACCCGATGTGCTCCACGAGATTGATACTTTTACGCTGTTTGGTAGCCATTTTTCAGCAAAAAAAGAAGGAAAAAAATGACCGTTGAAGAAGTCAAAAAAGACAGTGAGATGGAAAATCGAAAAAGTTGGCTGAATTTGATTTCTAACGGGAAAAAAATGCAGCTTTATAACATATTTTCCTATAGTACGATGATAAGGGCTACTCACATGACGTTAAAAGTTAAAACCTGCAAGTCCTATGTTTCACAAAGTAGCCATAAGGCCCTACCCAGTAAATTTTGGCAAAAAATCCAGAGAAAATAGTAATAAAAAGAAATACTGCAGTATCTGAATACGGGGCAGAATAGTTTTGCTTTCAACTTCCAATCATTTGAAAGATGACAACAGTGAGAATTCAATAAGATTCCAAAGTTAATATTGTCGACCCCCCCAATAAAGGCCATTGGCTTTATTCTCACAACTTGCCTATCCTACAAGGCTACAACCTTATTACATAACTCTTTTCATGTCCTCTTCTAAATTCTACTATCACTAAATACCTCCCCAATTTTATTGTTTCTGAAAGCTGATTTCAAATCACAATCCCATTTTGATTATAATGTCAAATGAAGATAATTCTTTGGTTTTTGATGCATCTGTTTTTCAACACCAGTACAATATACCATCACAATTCATATGGCCTGATCATGAGAAACCTTGTCCCGAGCCACCACCGGTACTGAATGTCCCTACTATAGATTTGGGTAGCTTTCTCTCAGGCGATGTGGACTCGGTTTGGGGTGCAACCTGTCTAGTCAACCAGGCATGTAGAGAACACGGGGTCTTTCTTGTTGTAAATCATGGGGTCGATTTGGAACTTGTCAAGGAAGCTCACAAGGGCATGGACTATTTCTTTGGGAAGCCACTTGAAGAGAAACAAAGGGCCCGGAGAAAAATTGGTAACCTTTGTGGTTATGCTAGTAGCTTTGCTAATAGATTTTCCTCCAAGCTTCCCTGGAAAGAGACACTTTCTTTTAGTTACAGTGCTGATCTTCAGTTGTCCAACATTGTCGAGAGCTATTTCTTGAATGTGATGGGTGAGAATTACAGACAATTCGGGTACAAAAATTGGCTCTCGTTGAACTGTTTCATCTAAAAGTTTAAGTTGTTTTGGTGTTTCTCATTATATATGTGTTCATTTTTTGATTTTTTGCTTGTCAAAGGAGGGTTTGCCAAGAATATTCTGAAGCAATGAGCAGTCTTTCTCTTAACATCATGGAGCTCCTGGGAATGAGCCTTGGGGTGGGACCAGCTTGTTTCAGAGAATACTTTGAAGGAAATGATTCTATAATGAGATTAAACTACTACCCTCCATGCCAAAAACCTGCTCTAACTCTTGGCACAGGCCCTCATTGTGACCCTACCTCCTTAACTATCCTTCATCAAGATAATGTTGGTGGACTTGAAGTTTTTTATGATGAAAAGTGGCATTTCATTCCTCCCAATGCACAAGCTTTTGTAGTCAACATTGGTGACACATTCATGGTAAATTATAAGCCTGTTTCAAAGCATGTTGAGCATGCAGTATTGGATGTGACTGACCATTACAATATTTTGCAGGCTTTATCGAATGGGATTTACAAGAGTTGCTTGCATAGAGCAGTTGTAAACAGTAAAGTTCCAAGGAAATCCTTGGCTTTCTTTCTTTGTCCAAAGATGGACAAAATGGTAAGGCCACCAAAGGAATTGGTATGCGAAGAAAATCCAAGAATATATCCAGATTTCACTTGGCCGGCTCTTCTTGAATTCACACAGAATCATTACAGAGCTGACACGAAAACACTTGAAGTTTTCACCAATTGGCTTCAACAGAAAAGCAGTCTAGATACTGCCACATCGAATGGTTAAAGATAGAGAAAAGACTAATTACAATAACTACACAAAGACGAGAAAGAGAAGCATCGCTTTTTGGAGGGTATTTAGAAGAATAAGGAAGCCAGAGGATGGACTGGAAAGAATGGCAATCAGAGCCGTACTGTTACAGATTATTCTGCCCTTGATTTTAAGAAGACAAAAATGGAAATTACAATCAAGGTATAAACATTTATATTGTAAAGGCTTCCAATACTCACCTTATTATTTACCACATATACAAGAAACAAATCAAAGTTTTATTATTATTATTATGAGCCTTTCATTCTTAAAAATTAATTTGCTAAATGAGTAATTCATATTCTTATATGCTAATTACAATTATCCTATTTAAGTTAGTGATATTTTAAACTTTAATATACCCCACGAGATGATGTCTTGTTTGACAACATCAATATTGAAATCGACTCCTTGTAAAACATTTACTAATTAATCAAATGTTAGTTTGAATGACGTTTTTCGTTGTTTGCTAATTTGTAGTGTTTTTAAATGTTTATAAGTTGTAAATATTGAGTCGTATGATATGCGTGAATAAAAAATATATTTGAACAAATTAAATTAAAAATTAAACTTTATCAAATATGCAATATAGATTTTGATTTACGATTTTAAAAGGTAAACTTATTTTGAAAGAAGTTACATCCTTATATTTATTATTTTTTTATGTATTAACGATGAGACATTGTATTCCTAATATCAATGCAATATATAATTATATATTGAAGCCTGGGATTTTCCTTCATTAATTTTTTGGAAAAGTACAATCAGCAAAAGTGTATTTTTTATATATTGCAAATAAGTTTTCCTTCATTAATTTTCGATTTTTCTTAAGATTTTATCTATTCCACATATTTAACTAAGATTCAAAAATTAATAAAAAAAAAATTATTCAAATCATCATGGGAAATATAAAGAGAAGGATTTGAACCCTCGGTAAGAATAGAGGTGTCAAGACGGACAGGCCGACTAAACCCGTGAAAACCGGCCCGGATTGACCCGGGACCGGGGGCCGACCCGTGACCCGAACGGGCGGTTCACAGGTTAAGGAGGTGTAACCAGTGGGCTTTGCAGGTTGCACCTTCATGGGCCGCAATTAACCCGCTGCCCCGTGAAAAAAAAAATTAATTTGAGAAAAAGGGGGGAGGTGCCAACCTAGTTGGGATGTACTTATACTATAAATATTTGATAAGAGTAATTAGAAATGCATTTAGTTGTTATTTTTTAAATTTAATTTAATTTTGCAAAGTTATAAACAATTCATGTAACATTAAATTTGAATTCTATGTAAACATTTCTTGGTATAAATATGAATTTATTATTTTGTTCAATTCTTAGTTTACATTTAACAAAAAAAAAATATTTTTTTCTATAAATATAAAAAATTATATATTTTTGTAATTTTATTTATATAATAATACAGGTCAAATCGAAACAAACCGCGACCCACTTGACCCGTGACCCGCATGGGCTCGACCCGGATGGGTCAACGGGCAGGCCTGTGTTGTAGTCCAAAATTTGTGAGTCGGCCCGGAACCGGCCTGAAACCCGTAGTGGGCGGGCTTTTTTTCATGCGGGCTGTTACCGGGCTCATATGTTGACAGCCAATCCGGCCCGAACCACCCGATTTGACACCTCTAGGTAAGAATAACTTGTACAACGAATAAGAATAGAATAACAACAAACATATAACATAAAAAGAAATTATTTTTTCTAGGATTAAAATTGGTTTGTTAATAATAGATAATTGAAGAAGTTATGGTATATGTTCTTTCTATATCAATTTTATTTTAAACCTACTAAACATTAAAACTAATTGTGATTGCTTAATATCACAAATTGAGACTCTAAAAACAACCTTGATTGAGACCTAAATGCAAATACATTGTAATTGTACAGGAGCATGATAATTCGACGTTTCGAGAGAAATGGAAATGGGGGAAGGACACAAACATTAATGAAACGAATAGAAGTCTTGTCCAAAATCTGCAGTTGTTTATATTCTCTACCACATCCAATCCAAATATGTCTAAAGTATAATCTTCTTCTTCTTCAATTTGCAATTAGTTAATGATCTCTACCAACAGTTAGTTTGATGTCCTTGATCGAGTAGTATTTTATGAACGACATTATGAGTTATGATTTGACTATTCGTAAAAATAATCTTAGGTTCCATAATCATACAAGATGTATATTAAATGATTTGAGTATAGTGAGATACAATTTGTGACGTGATCAAAATTATATCATTCGAGATCGGTATATAAAGTTGGACGCTTTATGTTGATAAGATTACATTGTTCTTATTGAGATTTGTCTAGATCTTGAAAATAAGAACAATAATGTGTTTGGTGCATGACTCACTATGACCGCTAAAAATGAGACTCAACTCAATCATTGAACGAGTCACCTAAATTTTGAGTGAGTAATATGTCTGGCATCGTGATGATCATAAACCAATGTTTCTCTTTCTTAGAAGTGCTTTCGCCCATGTTCCTATTTTAGTCGGGTTGGAAAAATTTGTTGAATAATCTATAAATAAGATTGTTGATTTCTCATATGTTGTGTGTAAAATATATGGAATGATATAGATACCTCTTCTACAAAACTAATTATGATCTAAACATATAGAAGAATATTTCAATATTACAAATTCAAACCTAACGCACTTGACATCAAAGTTTCAATCAACTATAGGCTTAGATTATTGTACCCTTATATCAACATAAAAGGCTCAGATTCACCCAAAACCCTTACAAAATCCAGGCGAGTGCACTTGTTGCTATGGACCAGAAGAACTCAAAGTCGCATCTAATGGATCTCACTCTGTCACAAAATATCACTAGGACACTTGATCTCACAAAAAAAAAAAAGTCACTAAACCAAAATAAATTAGGATTTAGCCAAAAGGAGAGTATTTATACTAGTAGAGGCTACCGTTGATCCAAATGGATGATCAACGGTTTATAGCAGCTTGCACTTTTAGTAAAGGATAAAACAACCAAAGTTGGAGTTGCCGAACCAGGATTTGAGTACTGGGCTTGGGCTTCACTAGGCCTGTTAGTTGATGTTATTGGTCAATAGATTTAAGGGAAATTATAATAATTCAGGTGTTTAAAGATTGGAATTCAAAATTCAGGGACCAAGTTTTATTATTCAAAAATCAGGTGATATAAAAACTCTTTAACCCTAATTCCTTCCCCTTCCCCTTCCCCTCTTCCCCTCTCTGCCTCGCCGGTGCCCTCGCCTCCCCTCGCCTCCCCTCTCTCTTCCCTCCCCCTCCACGGCTCCACCTCCCCTTCCCCACCCCCTCTTTGCTACGAATCGCAGCAGCGCTGCAGTAGCAGCGCATCAGCGCTTGCTGCAGCGCTGCTGCGATTCGCAGCAGCGACCATTGCTTCGCAGCAGCG